TCTTTCCTGCCTATGCAGGGGGGCGGACTCGATGATCTATTGAGGTCCCTTCCGACCCTAACATCTATGAATCTATCTATGAACCCCTGTGGGGATTCTTTTGTTCAGGAGTGAAGTGGCTTTACTTTGGTGCAGTGAAGATTAACGTATGGCATTTGAAGGCTGTTTTGCTGCTGAATAAGAGAATCCATGTGTGGATGTTTTTTAAGTTATGCACACTGACTTCACACCTTTGATTTGCGTCACCTCTCCTGAGTGCATCCTTGCAGACAAACCTAGAGGGTGAAATTCTGGGCAGCTGCTCTAAGGATAGAAACAGACATCACCAAACAAAGCAGATCAGCTGTGGCAGGACACATCCTACCGCAGTTAAAATCTGCTTTATTGGGTGAAACACACGTTGCCTGTTGTCTCACCTTAGGCCCTTGTTCCAGTGAGACAGAGACTACATATTCCCGTTACCCAGGGATTCCCCACACCAGGAATTCCCTGGGTGCTGCACCATACCGCACCTCCTGCTGGGACCTGTGTAGACCCATGCCTCTGCATGAAGCATGGATCAGTGTAAGAACATGCATGGGTCCTGGCACAGGGCACCAGGATGGGCTTCTGTAAGGAGGGAACCCTGACTTTCTCCACTTAAAGAGAGATGCTCTAAAATTCCCAGGATTCATCTCTCTAGTAAAAAAAGCCAGACACATGCTCCTGGGGCTGGAGGGCGTGATTCTGCATGAGAATTCCCAGGAGTGTGCAGAATTGGGTCCCTCAAGGCCCTGGAACATCTGCCCATGACAGCCGGAGAGTACCTGCACTCTTCTGCCATGGAGTAAATAGTAGGGCTGTGCGAAGTTCCTGATTCGATTCGACAGACTCGGATCAATTTGGTGGCAGAATCTCCAAATCCAAATAGAATCAGAGAACACTTTAATCTCTCCGAATCGATTCAGAGAGATTAAAGTGTTACTATACAGCAGTAAATAGTTAATATGTATTTTACATGCATGTAACTAGAACAAAGAGTAAGAGGAGAAAAGAAAAACTGCTGTAGAGTTAGAATATTCTTTTCCATATTGTGGAAAAGATAACGCCATAAGTGTAGTTTAATTTCTTTCCATCTTTCTTCAAAGGAAGGATGATGATTCTTGCTCTAGAATTTCTTTTCACACTTGTGTACCACTATGAAGATTATTAATGACTTCAGACTGAACCAGATAACATATTATAGCAAATAAAATGTTATAGCCGAGAGCTTGTTTTCAGCCCTGGTGGAAAGTCAGAATCAAGATGCAAAATTCTTTGCTCACAAGGTTAATTGCCAGAAGATTATCATCTCTAGAGATACAGTATGGATGCAGAATTAGTCAAGAGCATTAAATAGGCAGAAAAGAGATGGATAATCTGCGTACTAATTTACTAATTATTTCCCATATCTTGAGCTAGAACAATAAAAGCAGATATGGAAAAACCTACAATATGTGATAGGTGCATTTTCTTACTGGTAGATAATACAAAATGCAGTCCATAACATGGATTAAGTATGATACAGAAGTTAGGTAAACAAGTAGCTGAAGATAAGAGAGAGACCCAAAATATAATTTTTTAACTATTTATGAAACAAAATCATTGCCCTAGTGCTGCATTTGAGTCAGTTGATATGAATGGGACTACTCAAATTAATAAAGTAATATAGATATGTGTTTACAGATCGAGGAGCAAAAATACTATAACTGTACTGTATTAATAGTTACTTTTTTTTCAGGGACCTAGGGGTGAAAAGGGCACAAGGGGTGAAATTGTAAGTAGAAACGTTTTTTGTACTTAATTTATGAGTTGTATCTTACCACAAGAGTACTACAAGCAGTAGTCTGATCTACCATAGTTTCTCAAGTAGATGGGAGCAAGAAAATCAGGACAATAAGTCAAAATCTTGAAATTTGAGAAAAAAGGTTTGGATCAATAAAAACATTGTTTGGGTAATTTCAGAATGTATTGTTTTGCTTTTTATTTAATTTTATTTATGGAATGCAAATGAAAATTAAAAAAAAAACTGTTTTAAGCTGAAAAATAAGGAACTTTTCATTTTGAAAATGTCCAGGTGGGAATGTTTTGGCAGTTTTGAAACTTTTTTTCCCCCAAATTTTTTTCAAAACTTGAAATTGGTTGAAAACAACACTTTCCCATGGGAATGGAATTAGGATGAACTGTCACCTTTTTTGGCTTGAAAATTATTTCAGTAAACATTTCTGACCAGCTTGACTGATAGAGTCCATGATTGCTGCCTGTCATCTCTTACAGCAGCTGTTCCATCTTCTCACTCTGTGCTTGAACATACTGCCCATTAACACAGCCCCTTTTTCCTCTGGCCACATAGCAATATATTTTAAAATATAAATGAATATATTTGAAATCTGTGCCAGTTTGGAATTGAGCTTGCATGTTATATTGTTATACCAATGTGTGATACTCAAATCCCTCATACCAAAATGCTACTTTAAAATGTCATCATCTAGATGATCTGGTTCTAGAAGCAAGTAAGTAGTTTGTTTCAGTGAAATGCATAAATAAATTTATTTATGCATTTCACTGAAACAAACTACTTAACTGCCTCTAGAGAATCAGGAGCAAACATATACAAGAGCTGAGTTTCAGAGCATGCAGTCCAGCAACTGAAGGATTTCTGTTGTGTAAGCATGATAGCACTGATAATGGTACACACAATTCAAATCATTATCCTTTCTTATTAGCCTGCTGAAAATATTGTACTTGTTTCTTAATGTAATTAACGTTCCAAATTATATCTAAGTTAAATAATAGGAGATCTGCAAAAATTCTACCAGTAGTGGCTCTATAAAAGTGAAAGACTGATGTTTAATGATTATGCTTGTTTCTGTTAAATATGTACAGCAAATATGTGTATGTGTGTATACAGATCTATATATGTATGTGCCCCCATCGGGCTTCATATAGACGATCGTAGGCGGCCTTCGAGCGTTCACCCAACCCCGCCCAAGGGATGTGTCCCCAGAACTTACATGTTGGGTTGCACTCCACCCTGAGGGGAGCCCTGACAATCACCTACCATTGTTTGGTCTTCTATGTTCCAGTAGTGAGGCTCCCTCCCGGGGTTTCTCACTACTCTTGGTACTACCTGTCAGAGACGTTCTTGGGGCTCCACCTCCCCTACACCTCAGCCAAGCACCAACCCTCAGGGCTGCTGAATGGTGGATCTTTGGTCTGCTCCTCGGCTCACCTATTCCCAACGACCACGGGGCATACAGTTGTCTCTGCCTTTGCACCCATCCCTCCTCCAAGGCTCCTGCCCAATCTTGCCTCAGTCTTCTTGCATGGCCCTGGACCCGTGGAGGGTCTTTCCTCAGTCGCCACTCTGTGCGCCCTCCAAAATAGAGTAGATCAAAGAAAAGAAAAAAAAAAAAGAAGAGAAAAAAATAACGAAAGGGTCTGGGTGTGGGCTTCTGCCCACCCCACTCATGGATCCGCCGTCTTTGACCTTCTCCAATACCCTGACGTTGTCCCTCTTGTTCTCAGTGGTCCCGCCAATCAGGGTACTGGGCCTCTCTAGCATGGGGAGGGCTCCTCTCAAGGGATCCCTGTCTCGCCCCTACTGGGGCTGCCAACCTCCCTGGGACGTTGGCTGGGGAGCAACCTCGCCCTCCAGTGTCCCTGCTGCTTTTCTCACCATTTCCCCACTGTCAGGTTTTAAATCCTCTGGGCAGCAGTTTTTTATGACATCATCTGCTGGTGCCGCCACCAGCCGGCAATAGAAGCGGCTGATAAACCACACCAGTGGCCCTTCTTAGCACGGCTCC